AGCAGCTGGATTATGTGAAGAAGAATCCTGTATCAGAGGAGGAAGGCTTACTAAAACCTGTGATAAGCAGATGACACAACCTTGTTTGCTGAAACTTAGGGGCGCTTGATGCACTTGCCGATGAAAATCAAGGATTGCAGTCTTCAATATGAAAAATAATTCCATATGGATTACAATACAATGTAAATGTAAGAAGACTAAAAAACACACAACTGGACCCATAGGTAACATTATGATCATGGAGAAAAAAATTGTAGCTGCCAAGGATTCCATCTATCTTTGGACCACAGTCAATGCTTGTGTAAGCAGTAGTTGAAAGGTCAAAGGGCACATTACATTTGGTGAATCTTCTCCAAAAGACTGAGGCCTTTCCTTTGGTGATGGTTCCTGTCTTCCTATGAATTCCCTGTCATGAAGAAACCAGTGGGATCAAAAGATATCTATTTTTTTCTTGATACAGGGTAGCTTTGGCCTCATTATCTCACTCCTAGTACATGGGTTCATCTGCCTTTTGGGGGCACCTCTCTTTTTTTCCTCCAACAGTTTTATTGGACGTAATTTACATATCATACAATGAAATAGTTCAACCGTCCAAACATATCTAGGGGAATTGTATAATCACCACCACATGCATCCGAGAGTGTTCTCTCCACCCATGGTTGATTCACCCACCAGAGTTGTTCTATGGCAATCAGCTCCAGTGTCCCCCCCACCGCCACCTTCTTTATTTGCTACCAAACTCCCCTTGTCCTCCTTAGCACACCTCCCTCCTTTACAGTCCCTCTAACACCTTGCTTCGGCTATTATCCTCCTGAGCTTCACCGCTGGGAAACCCCACAGAAAACAATGAAAAACAAATCACACGAAGGTGGTAAGGATAAGATCACTTTTGTATGAAGGCAAACATACAAATACTCCATCAGAGAAAGACGACCCCCATCAACATTCAAGAAGTCAGGGAAGAAGCTTTTTTGTCAAGAACATCAAAGAGATACTTCTCCCCCCGCCCCCCGGAACAAATTCAGGACTGTTTATGAAGAGGGCAACTGGCCAGGTGAGTTCCATGCAGTGCGATCAAGATTACAGTGGTCTCTTTCTGTCCTTGCCACAGACCCTGAGGTGGGCTAGCAGAGCAGCCAGAATCATCAACTTATAAATGCAGCTCCACAGAACAACAGGCTTTTCACAAGTTATTACATTAAGAAGATTAAGAAAATAACAACTGGGACAAGTATCAATTGCATTTCTAAAACACAATTTGCGAGAAAAATACTTAGATGACTTGGCTGATGTTGAGGTGATGGCTTAGAAGCAGTTATACCAGAAAAGGTTTCCATCTATATTTAACAGACACATACGCAGCGTAATCAGTGCAGAAATGTGCACTTTTCTACGTTCAGGCTCCCAACATGGCTATAAAATCATAACTAGTACTTACTCTTTATATTCACCTGTTTATGGGTAGGAATCAATTATGTTTTAGTTATGCAGATGGAAATGGTCTTTAAGTTTGTTTATTACCATCTATAAACTTCAATAGTCTATTATTTACTATATTGGTTTACTTAGTAGACATGTATTAACTCAATTCCCCTAAGATCCACCTCTGAATAGTATATATTTTTTCTGGTAACTATATTTGTAAGACATAGTTTTGGAGGCAAATGAATAAATAGTCTCTTTGGTAATAGCTGAAAAGTCACATTTCTAATTGTATAAGGAGCACTCAGAGCTTCATTGGTTAGCAGTTTGAAACCACTAGCTGAGTCACAGGAGAAAAACAAGATTTTCTACTTCCATAAAGAGTTAGTCTCATAAGCCCACAGGGGTAGTTCAACTTTGTCCTTTAGGGTTGGCATGACTTGGAATTGACTAGATGGCAGTGAACATTTTTACATACATGTACATGTGTGTAAAACATGTTTATGCATATATAACATATAAGATACATGTATACATAAGTATATATGTACATATATATGTATGTTAAATATGTGTACACACATTTGTATATGTATGTCTATGTATATCAAGAAGTATGTATACAAGTATATATAAAATGTCTATGTATACATATATTTCATATATATATGTGTGGGGCAATAAATGTACAAATGTGCTTTACACTATTGATGTATGTATGGATTGTGATAAGAGTTGTATGAGCCCCTAGTAAAATGATTTAAAAAAAGAAATAAATAGTTCACATACAAAAAATGTTTGTGTGTATATACATACGTGTGTGTATATATAATACATGTACTTAAATATGTGTGTTGGTATGTATGCATATTTATGTACATTTATACATACTCTTAAATGAATTTATACTTGATTAAAGTATTATTTTCACTGAAATAATGAACAGGAAGCTATCTAAAATGTGGTCTATGATAGAAATACCTCTGAAGCTGAAAGTGAAATTGCTTTAAAAGGTGTTTTCTCTGTCTTTCATTGTGTCTGATAAAAAAATAGCAGTTTATGGTGATGTGTAATGTTCATCCTCTATTCCAGGAGCACATTTTCAGGAAGAAATATGCAATATTTCCTGAAAATATCTTCTACCATGCTTAGATATATAAATCTATTCAATCAATTATCTTTCCACTATTTTTTATTGAGCCTTGATTATCTGCCAGGTATGATAGCCCCTTGACTTACTTAAGGGCATGCAACTGCACTCCTAGTTTTTCATTCCAACAACAAAACTTAACCCAAATCATCCCAAATTTACTCACTCACGGTTTCCTTATAATAGCTATTTAAAAATAATTAGTAAATGCTGCATGGTTTTGATTAGCACATTGCGGTGACCTGAGCTGATTGTGCAGATGGAAAATGCAGGTAGGCTGTTAAAGCTTGATTTAGCCTAATGATTACTCAAGTACATAGAAAACCATAAGAGCACGAGTTGCACGGAGAACACCAACAGGAATGGCTCTACTGGAAAAAGAGGCTTAACAGTAAGTGTTTGTAGTTATGTGGGGAAATTGGAACACTTATATACTGCCTTTGGGAATGAAAATGAGTCACCTTACAATTCCTTCATAGAGTTTCCATACATCCAGCATATGTTCATACAAAAAATATGTTCATCTAAGTTCACAGTAGCATTATATACAATGAGCAATAAATGAAAACAACTCAAATGTCTATCAGATGATGAGCAGAGGAATAACTGTAGTATATCTATGCAAAGGTATATTTTCAACAATAAATATAAGTTAAATGCTGATAGATGCTATGACATAGGTGAACTTTGGAAATTTTATGCTAATGGAAATCAGCCAGTCATAAAGTATCATATGATGTATGATTTCATTTATATTTAATATCCAGAGTCAGTACATTTGTAGTGACAGAAAAATTAGTATCTGCCTAGGGCTGTGGTAGGGTGCTGATAGAAGGTTACAGGTAATGATTACAAGGTTTGAGGATTCTGAAAATCCTTTTGGGGGCGTAATTACAATGTTTAAAATATGAAAGTGGTGATGAACATCCAACTCTGAAGAAATGCTATCTGTTTGCGCACTTCAAATAAATGAAGTGTATTATTAGTGAATTTTACATCAATAAATCTATAATTCGATGGGTTTTTCTCTTTTCGCCCCCTAAATCCTCTTGAAACAAAAAGGGAATGAGAAAGGACATAATGCCATAAAATAATGCCTTAGTGTTTTAAGAAATCATACTTTTTTTGTCATCTCACGAGTAGCTGGAGTTATATCCTAACTGTAATATCTAATTTCTGCATACAATTCTAAACTAGGAGTGATTCATACCTGTTTTACTTGCTGACAAACAGACTAAGTTGTGAGCACACATTTGCTTTCTTATGAATTTCATTTGAATTCTAATATCATTATATGTAGTGCCTAACTTTCAACATGTCTTGGTTATGATGAGCCACAATTACGATGGTCTTCATTTCTTCTCTTCTGATTTTTAAGATTATACATGTGTCCATGTCTGTTGCAAAATATATCTGTAAGTTTATGTGTGATATTTTCAACATTCCAAAAGCAAATAATGATTGGATTTATAAATATACTTATAATAAAGCAATGATGATTAAAACGTTAAACAATGTGTTCAACTTACATCAAAACCAACTTACATAGTTGAAATGAGGCATAGGATAAGTCACAGGCTATGTGCATTGATATTTAGTGTTTTTCTGAATGTAGCTTTTACTAGGGTATAAAGATGGAACAATAATCTTTTTTGGTTTCCTCTAAAACATTTCTCCTTCCGAATGCCCACACATACCTTGTGAAATGCCAAAATGTATTATTTTATTAAAGGCTATAATATTTATGTGTTTACTGAAATTTGAAGAGTTGTGCTTTACTGATAAATTCATCAAGTGCAAAACAGTCCTTTCCAACTTTCCCTTAAACTTCAGTATAAAATAAACCACCATCCTTCTATTACCTTGATGCCTTGAGTAAGGAACAAGGCAAAGTAAATCCTACAATTTGGAAGACCATCAAATCCTCTATAGGATGTGACTAGGCGTTCTGTGAGGTCAGTTTTCTGCCTCTCTATCAGGAGACTTGGTAGCACAGTGGTTATGAGTTGGTCTGCAATATGAAAGGTCAGCAGTTTGAAACCACCAACTGCTCTTTGGGAGAAAGGACTTTCCACTTCTGTAAACAGCTAAAATATCAGAAACTCACTGGGCAGTTCTACCCTTCCTACAGACAAGGTCATTATGAGTTGGCAACAACTACAGACAAGGTCGCTATGAGTTGGCAACAACTCGGTGGCAGTGAACATGATTGAAAAACATTATATAGATAGATAAAGCAAGGGGAATGATATAAGACTTATAGATGGAATAAGAGAATGAGTAATTCCACCTACTATACTGTGTCCACAATCCTAAATATGACATAAAAATTATAATAGTGTGAGCTTTGCTCTCAAGGAAATCTCAGTATTAGTCTTTGTCAGCAAGTGACATGTTTTATTATGATATGTAAATTAAAGAAGTTCACCATGTTCTGAAGCAGCAACTGTGATGTTGTACCATGGAGTTTCTTCTCTGTCAAGAACTTTGGTAGTCTTAATGGTACCAGTGTTGGCATCAATGTTGAAAAATCTGTTTTCTTCAGCATTGTAGTCAATGAAGTATCTAGATGGGGAAAAGAACACCAAACAATAAAAGTAAAGTTTCTTTGCATGAGATGTGATAGCAAAGAAAATACAAGTGAATCAACAATGTGTTTAATTAAATACATTAACTTTAAATTTTAATATTTGACTCAAGAGGAACTATGTAGAACCTATAGAGAACTTAGTTCCATGACTTTTTGTCTACCCTTTTTTAATGGCTAACCCCATTACTAAATCAAAATATACAGTAAATTTAATGAACACCATTTTGCCACAGTCCATGCATAAAACTAGATGAGAACTGAGTCATTAGTAAGACAATGAACAAATAAAAATAGCTGCCCGAAGTCTATTGGATGTTGAGGGAAAATGTTAAACCTAAGCATAAAATTTTACATTGTTACAAGTACAAATAACTTTAGGATCACCCTAAAGGTCAGGAGTGTATTCACTCTGGAGATTCATTATAGATAAAATTTGTAAATTAATATACAAACATTGCCACTGCATATTAGTTAGTCCAAGAATGAGTAAAATAAACCAATGACGTCAGTGTGCCTAATCACCCCACTAGCTTCTCTCTCCAATTGATGGCCCTGCGCTGCACTCCCTCACATGCAGCTGGATTGGGACCTGCTTGGGTCATAGAATGAGAAGAAAGCGCAGCATACTCTTTCATGCCAAGGTTCAGGAATGAGACCTCACATGTTTTCTCGGTGCTCTGCCACTGCCACAAGAAGAACATATTCGGGCTGGACACAGAAAAGGTTGAGAGAGAGAATAAAAGGTCTGAGGCAAATAAAAGGCTTGGTTTTGTTTGTGTGTATCTCGGGGGGGCGGGGAGTTTGATCCACGGGGCTACAACGAGTGAATGTAGCAGATGGCCAGTACGTAGGTTATGCAAACTGTGCCGAAGGAAAAGCCGGGAGAAATCGACAACTTGATACACCGTGATTTAGGTGACACTTACATAAACATGGAACACAAAGTGAAGAACTAGATACGGGTGTTATGCTCAAGAGTGTTTGCTGAAAATATAAATTCGAGACAAATCCACAAATGCTTAAGGTAAAGGAAACAGGCACTGTCTCAGCGGTAGAACGTATAGAGAAACGGAAAGGTACGTTGAGCACGGAAGGATGACAACAGTTTGCATTTTAAAGAAAACTACCATCTGTGGACAAAAAGGTGCATCTCTGGTACAAAGAAAGTGTTTCCCCAGAGAGAAGGAGAATGGGAGAGGTTCAGAAGCCGAGAGCAGAGCCATCTCTGGAGAGGACTTGACGCCTGCTCTGAAATCTGCCCTGAGTTCGAGCGAGGTAAGCCCGTTGTCGTGAATTGATTCTGGCTGGTCCCACTGCGGGTGTTTTAGAGTTAGAAATCTGTTCCATCAGAGTTTCTGAGGCTGATTTTACTTGGAATTAAACCATAGACCTTTCTCTGAGGATGTGTGGGAGGACTGGAACATCTAACTTCTGAGTTAGCAACTAAGCACTTGATCCATGTGTATCACCCAGGGGTTCCTGAGAGGTGTAGTCAAAGTTAATTGGATGTGGCATGATGGGAACTGTTAATTTAGCAAGAGTGTTTCAATAAAACAGAAAAGGATAAGAGTTATGTATTTATTATATTATATTATGTGTTTATATGTTATTTATAATTTAATATATTATGTATTTATGTATATTTAATATATTTAGAATATATTAAATCATTTAAGTCATGACAACTTACTGGATAAATCTTGAGAATGAAGATAAGAAAATGATATATCAGGTCATCAGAGAAGTGGATTCAGAAGAGATTTGTATGGTATTGGAGACATTAATGTATCAAGCCTTTCGTGTGTTGAAGAAATCAAATGGCTGCCAGCTATCAGAAAGAATAGTGTGAGGTCTTAAAGGCTGGTCTAAAAACAAACAGCCTTCTACATAGGCATCAACTAAGTCCATAAAGAATAAACACACCAGCCTGTGTGATCCAAAGTTTGTCAATCATAAAATCCAAATCTAAAGGAGGAATGGTATCAGAGTTGAATTCTGAAATTTCAGTTTGCAGAAGGCTACAGATGACAGTGGATATCCAAATCCATTTGCAAGGTCCCCATATGAATTAAACCTCCAGTTAATCCCCTCTGACCACAGTGCAGGGGTGTGAATCGCCGTGCTAACTGACAGAGAGCATTGTAAAGCTGATTATAGCAGATGTAAATGTAGTTAAATTAAAATGTAACCCCTTATCATTTGATCTCCCTTTTAATCATTTTAAAGTTGTTTCAGTTTGTAATATCTTCCATTGAGGTTTTTCTATGTTTTGTTTAATCATTGTTGTTATTTTTTTTGTTTCTTTTTGTTTTCTATATATGAGATCCAGGATTGATAGACAAAAAAAACATTGTAGTGTAATTCCACTACAACTTCATGCCTCTCACAAGGCATGTCCACACAAACAGGATATGCGGGACTTATTGTTAAAGTGTGAAATCTAAAATTGTCCCACGGCATAACTGCGCAGACATGGCTAAGGCCATTACTAACATCCCCCAGCCTGAGACCACAGAGTATCCCTAAAAATGAAGCAGACTGACTGTTCTGAAAACATCTCTAGATGGAATCTGGGAAAAGAGCTTTAGGTAAGAAAACAAGTAGTGGCGTAAAATAATGCTTTCTAGGTAAAGAGAAATTAGAGACTCCACAGAGTTGTGAGACCCAAATATGCTATTGGGCTTTCTCAAACCATGATTTCATCTGACTTTGAAACTATTTTGGTTTATCTGACATGAGGTTATGTCATATAATAACCCACTGGTAATGTCTTCCCCCTAGTGCTTTGATGCTAAGGAGGCGGACTGAACAGCCTTAAAGATAGGAGAAGTCTCATCAGCTGAAAAGAGTCCCGTCCTTTAAACATGGAGAGCTGGAAATCTGTATTGTAGCATCTACATTTAGTTGTTACTAACTTGCTTTTCAAAAAGTTCTCTAAGCTTGATTAATCTAGAAGAAGGTTTGTTTCTATATCTGAAAGTTATGATCCTGAAATTGAAATATATGATTCAGCCTCAAAGCTCCAGAAAGCACAGGTATGCTGCTCCAGGAAAATACAACCTTGTGGGATATGGCAGCATAGTGCTCAGGTGCGAAATCCGATCACTTCAAAACCCTCGACCTGGAGACAAGTGGAGGCTTCTATGTTTAAAATAAATGGAAGATCTGAAATCATGCAGTGTCTCTATCAGCACCATCTTCACTGCTTCAGACACTTCACACTGGGCTTTCCTCAGCAGGGGAATGCATTCTGCGTAAATATGCTTTCTATTGGGATTTAGAAGAATAATTGTTTCAAAGACTAGAAATTGTTTAAATAATAGAACTCGTGCTTGAAAAATAGAGACCCGATAGATGTCGTGATAGGGTGGAGAGACATGCATTCAAAGATTCATGTTATTCTACTCCTAACTCTCCAAATGACTTCTCTCCTGGGGAGTCTGCACAACAAGGAAGAGATGTTATGGGATGTTTGGACCCAAGGAGTCTTATTCATGGAGTTGCAATTGAATTTTGACTGAAGTAGAACTAAATGGTTCCACTTAACTACCCTTGGATTTCTTCCCGGGCATTGAAATAATTTCTTTAAAACAAATCAGAAAGAGGGGAAATAGAAATGTGAGAAGAAAGAAACTATTCACAATTGTTTTGAAAATTTAAATATAGAATCATGCAGGCTTGTTGTTTAACATTTAGAAATGGCAAGGGTCCATAAACTGTTTATCAAACAAACAAAATGAAAAGGTACAATGTTGTCCGTTGGGTTTTTTTTCCAGATATTTTCATAATAAAGATCCATTTGTCATCTTTTCACAAATCTTCAAAAATAAGTAAAGCATCTTCATATCTGTCTTAATTAACTAGTGCTGCTGGAATGCCCCAAGTGGATGCCTTTAACCCATACATTACTTTCTTACAGGGTACAAGGCTAGCAGTGTGAATTTAGTTTGCCAACTATAGGGACGGATTTGTCTGTATGTCAGTCTGAGGAAGGCTTTCATCTTAGATACCATTGGGGCCACCGTTCTTGAAGATGAATATGTATGTCTGAACATCAATGTTCCTTTGAGTCTAGGCAGTTCTCAGCTCAGGATGCTGGGTCCAAAGGATGCACTGTACTCTTAGCTCTTGTTTCTTTGTGCAAGTTAGGACCACTCCTCTGCTCCCTTCTTTCTCTTTGTCTCTTCTAAGATATTAACTATATATATCAGGGAAATCAATGTGCATGGGATTAGGGCCATTATAGAAGCAGCCCTAGTGGTGGTTACAAGTTCAGCTGCAATCCACATGGTAATCAGTTCAAAACTAACAGTAGCTCAATAGGAGACAGACTAGGCTTTCTACTCCCATAAACTGCTATAGTCTCAGAGACCCACCAGGGGTCTCTATGAGTCCGCATTGACTCAATGACTGTTAGTTTGGTTTTGTGGAGGGCCATTATGTGGGAATATAAAGATGACATATTGCAAATGAATCCTGCCTCATTAGTAATAGTAAGCCTAATTTACTCTTCTTTAATATAATCTCATACTACCTTATTATCAAAGATGGAAATCAGGGTATCTATCACATAGAGCACATAGGATGTACAATAAACACATAACTGCTCACAACATGGAAGAGAGACACATAACCCTGGGAATCATAACCTCACCAGTTTTGACATATATGTTTTAGAGAGGGCACAGTTCAACTCATGGCAATTTTTTATGAATTTAATGATTAATACTTATATATTTTCAAAAATATATTAATTTGACATTTTCAGGAAGATACCACAAATACAAAATTAAGTAGACATTTGTCTAAGTTATGTTGTTCCCAATATGGTGTTATAATAAAACCTGAGGAAATGGAATTTTAAAAATTATGATTGCTATTTAGATTATATTCTGGAGCTTAAAAAATGAGCCAGCATAAATTGAGGTTAGAAGATATACATAATTTTCTTCAGCTTCAATCTGAATTGACATAT